TATATATATATATATATATATATATATATATATATATATAAATGTTACATATATAATACATATACATAAACATATACTTGGATATATACATATAGATATGTATTCGTAAAATAATATATGGTCCCCTACATACAGATGTATATATAATGGGGACATGTGTGGCTGTACCTTTAATACATGTGTCTATATTCCGTGGTCGGTTGCCCTGCTTCTCTGTGATGCAGAACGCGGCCATGCTAAGCTCATTGGAGTTATCTAGTTTGGTGATATCCGGCACTAGCGTCCTGGTGTGTGTACGTTAAGGTAAGTGTTAGGCATTCTCAGCCCAAAGAGTAAAGTACCGTTGCTCTCACTCATTCCGGTAAGAACGAGTGTATAGTTTGTCATGCGCAGAGCGTATGCACACGCGCACATACACACATACATACACACACGCACACATACATACATACATACTTACATATACAAGTAAACTATCTGGCATCTTAAGATCGAATGCCACACCGGTGTCGCTTAACAACCAGTACGTAGCACACTTGTGTAGCATAACATACTATCAATAACAAATTCCCATAGCTATTCAGGTACACGAATACCACACGCATGTAGCTTAGCAACCAATCTAATAACACGCTCTGGTTGCTTAGCAACCACCCAGAAACACACTCGTGTAGGTACCTTATGGCGCTCTGATACCCCGCAGCGAACGCGAAGGCCGGGTACTTTGACAGCGCACCGCCAAGAACCGCTTTATCGAATTGGGAGAACGACGAGGCTTCTAGTTGAATGCAGGTGTCGTATGCTTTCTGGAACAAAGAACACGTGGGATGATATAAACACGTGGGCTGACAAGAACAGATAGAAATGACACCATTAACCTGACATGTGTGTACAGGTGATATATATTTAGCAATAACACCATACACCTGACATGTGTGCACAGGTGATACATATAAAGTAATAACACCATACACCTGACATGTGTGCACAGGTGATATATATATAGCAATAACACCATACACCTGACATGTGTGCACAGGTGATATATATATAGTAATAACACCATACACCTGACATGTGTGCACAGGTGATAGATATATAGCAATGACACCATACACCTGACATCTGTGCACAGGTGATAGGTATATAGCAATGACACCTAACACCTGACATGTGTGCACAGGTGATATGTATATAGCAATGGCACCATACACCTGACATGTGTGCACAGGTGATGTGTATATAGCAATAACACCATATACCTCACATGTGTGCACAGGTGATAGATTTATAGCAACAATTACTTCTTAGGATTTGTTTGTGCTATTAGATATGTGTTGGAATACTTTCACAGTATCTGTACAAGGTCACAGCAAGTGTATGCATCAGCTGTGCACAATACGTTCCCCCCAGTGAGACCGTAAAGCAAGTGTAGACATGAGATATATGGCTATGACAGCAATTGGATTGCTTCAGACACAATAAGTTATAACTGGATATGTGTAATTGTATAACTTATAGAACGTGCATGTGCCATATAGATTCACGCCAGAACCATATAGAAGTACGCTCCTGTGAGCATGTGCATAGACTAGAGACACAGGACGAGAACTTTGTGCTATAGCCCTTGAGTAGTTCTAAGATAGCCCTGAGTACAACAGAGCACGCGGATCAGACAGTCATCGTATTAACTATATATCTGAGCAACCCTATGGCAAGTAACCTACGGTAGTAAGTATATATATATGTGTATGCGCATTTGTCGAATATTATAGGCAAGTGTTTCCTATAGCTATGTGTGCTTGTTATTCGTGGCTAGACTATTCCACCGACTGCAGATGATTGGCGTGGATATAGAACATCGCGGATTACAATAGGCGTGTATCAGACAAGACATCCTATATATACGTGTGCAACTAAAATGCAAGTCGTAAATCAATGTGCTTGTGTACAGCTAAAACTCCATAAGTGAACCGCAGATCTCTTACTACAACACCATGGATGCAATAATCGCCATATGCAATCTCTTGATGCAATATTCAGTTCTAGTACCACGTTCATGCTCTGCATTCTTTATGATTTGGTCTCGATTCGTAAGAATATGGTAGATATACTTCAAATAGATGACGCGACAACTAACAATATAGTAGATACACATAATAGCTGATATTAATACTGTATGACAGCGTACACATAGTGGTTTGCGCAGATCAAAAACTAAGTTAACCTTACCCACCTTCCACTGTGCGAAGCTCACTGCGCCCCCCTTTTGTATACTTTTCCGGTTACGGAATATCCACGCCAAGGACTTTGTTGCACTCATCGTGTATTTAGATTCGGTTATTTTGAAGACCGGTGCGACTATGCATCTATGTGTTTACCACTACTGCTAATTAATTTTCTAGTGGGAAGAACTGCCTACACTGTAGAGTGCACTAACACAGTACAAGGCTATACCTGTAGTCGACTTTTAAAAAAACAGTACAAGACAAGCCAAGAAGTGATGTCACAGCCACTTTACACACGACATATAAGACGATCCAAGTATGTAGAGCTGTCCTCATAGATTAAGTATTTTTAGGTTTTAAAAAATGAATATAAAAAATAAATAAACAAACCCGCGGCCCGCCTAACCTTTGCAAGAATCTAAACATGGTATATTTTTGACAGATATTCAAAATCGATGACAGCTTTCAGAATTGCAAAAAGTAGGGACTGGTATTTATTATTTACAGACGGGAAAAGAAAAAAAGAAATTGTGTTTTTTAACACTTATTTTTATTTATTACCAGCAGCAGGCCATCCCGCAATATATATAAAACCAATACACATTTGCCACCATTAAGTTGTACTTTCTTCATTCATCATTGAACTTCTTGGGTGATGTGTGTAAAATATAGTGCAAATAAATACTTACAACAGAAGTAGATTGACATCATGTGTAGCCCTATTACAGAAGGATGCTATTCATGCATATACCATAGCATCAAGAGCCTATGCATATCATTCGCCTTTTATTATAAGAAATGTCAGTATAAATAGGTCATGCTCGTCATATAGAAAATATTCAAAGTTTGATCCATAAATATTTCAATAAAGCAATAGCGATTTCTCCTGATTTATGTGCAGCTAAAATATGGTCGGATCACGCTAGAAGCAAACAGTAATCATCAGTAAGTCATTGCTAAATTACTAGGTTAAAATGAAGGATAAAATTCAAGTGTCATCGACAAATTCACACCTCTACAATTCTCTTATAGTATTTGAAATTTTGGTCTCTGTTATAAGGGACGAAACATTCAGAATCCAAGATAGAGCAGAAATCGAATTGTGTCAATTTCTATCAAGGAACGGTGTTTTTTTTTGGCAGTGAGTACTTCAGAAATCGATAGGAAATCATATTGTACATCCAATATAAATTTCTATAGTAAATTCTGCATGCGTGCTTGCTGTGCTTAAGATAGAATAACGTGGTTCTCAATTTTATATAGCGAACACGCTACTTGATTGTATGTATCGTGATACTTAAGTTTCATATACAAACGAGTTATTTAAACAACAGGCATATCACTTTGGGTGAAAAATAAATTGCGAGGCAGGTATCCAAACTTAGCGTTTCCCTCTAACTAAAATTTTAAATTGCAATATTAAAATACTATTTACATATCATTCCATCGCAATTACTGCAAACATGAATGTGCAAATTTCACATCTCTTCATAACACTAAAATACCATAATATCATAAATAATATTATACGATATACACATACTGAACCGAGAGAACTCCACCATGAGACATAACATATCGCTCTTATGATGAGGATGACGGTAAAATTGAACTATTTTCAAGTTTCACCGTCGCCTTGTCAGCCAATCTGTATTTGGGCTATTCCCCAGTTGTGCGAAGAATTTTAAAATGGTTTTCTGGATTGCGAAAAACAACGCAAATTCTGGCGTCGCAAACTAGTGTATGATAGTCGACACCCTCGAAACTCTGTGACCACTGGGGTGAAAAGGGTATCATATCATCAATACACGACAACTTCATACCTATACAATTCTGTTGTAAATTGTTTTTAATATAATACGTAGCAGTTCTTCTGTTGTTATTATTACATTCTACACGACAAGAGTATTTCGTTTCTAAAATAGTAATATTAGATTGGCGTCGTTGCATAGAGAGATGGGACTATAGTTGTGCATATAAAACTAGACCACAGCTGCACATACTAGCGTAGGACTTCTATCACACAGTGACACACACACATAAACAACACACAACACAATGGAAGACGCCAAGGCAACCCTAGCCAAGCAATTGGAGCGAAGACCTTCTAAGGAGGATCTGACCAACCGAAACATCATTCCAGGTACACATCACTAGGGGGGCTTAACGACTATAAATCGATCTCAACTCCCACTATTTGGGTGCTCAATAGGATGCGTTTCCATGCGTCGAAAATGTCGCGCTACTTCAGGAAGGGCCAATCCAAGAGTTAAGCTGGCTGTACAGCTGGATTCTGAGGATGGCACGCTCGGTCTAGGCTGTTTATGTTTATGTTTGAATCACTTGAATCACTGTTTGCTAAATTGGTGTATACCTTGCATGTATGTATCTCTCATATCTCGTTGATACTTAATAGCTCATAGCTCAGTATAAGTCAGAAAACCCCAATGACATTACTTATTTCTGACTCTAGTACTATCAGCTCTCTGTTTAGATATTCTTGGTTGCTCTGTCTGATGGTCGTCCTTGCTTTCTTCTTCCATATGATCTTGGTTATCAGATCAATCTTCTTCCACAAGAACTAAGTTTAATCTTCTTCCACAAGTTCCTTCGTTTGTCATCAATTTATTTATTATGCAAGTTTATTCATTCGTTACATAATTTCCCAGGTGGCGCTAAGGATCCTATCGTAGCTGCCAAGGCCCATGAACTGGAGCGCGCAAAGGCCGCCGATACTCTGAAGAAGAACTTGGAGAAGCGATCCGACAAGGAGCAGCTAGAAAATGCTGGCATCATCAAGGGTATGTTAGTTTTGTTTGTTCATCAAGTGAGTGCCTAAACAAGAAGATAAGGTATCATCAAGGAATGTTAGTATAGTAGCGTGGATCTGATAGTGTATCTGCACTGGCGTGTGTAGGGTCTATATATGATTTTTTGTGTTAATCGGCCGTAGGAATATTAGTTTTTTTTTGACGTTCCTATTAACCGCCCGGATTATCATTCTAGCACAAGCTGGAGTTGTGTGGCATACCCACCATTGTCTATAATATGGAAATCCATCCCTGCCGCGACATGAATTAATTTATAGATTGAATTGCTCGCTAATTTCTGTAAAGGGCTTCTACGTTTTTATGTAGACTTGGGTATTCCGCTCCAGTTGTCTGTACATTTATAGTAACTATTCCTCGAGCGATTGCTAAATCAAGTCAATTTGTTTATATATGCAGGTGCCAATGTTGCCCCAGCCCTTGCCGAGGCTGCTGTAGCTTTGGAGCCCAAGTTGGCGCAAGCTCAGCTGAAGAACAAGCTCAAGGAGGATGCTGACCACGCTGTCCAAGGAAGCACATAATTTCTAACGAGTTTTATCTCATCACAGCCTTATTTGGCGAGAAATTAAGTGCTGCAACCTACAGGGGCGATGTGCACAAAGCTTGTAGCAGTGTGCATCCACTGACCGGGGTACCCAGGGGTTTAACGTATCAATAAAATGGCCTCTATAATATTGATGTCGTGTACAGATGTACAAATACTACCTTGCCGGTGATAACACGATTGAAACTACATATGGCAAACACTTCAAATTGTCGTGTTTTGGGCCTTGTGTGCGGCAAATTAAATCTGGTTATGACTGTAGTTCATAGGTATCAGGGACATCACCAGACGAATATGAAATTGTCGAATCGATATACGATGTAGCTGATAATGTGAATCACGGACTATGCAGGGTCCAAAGTTTGAGAGAGTACACATTTATGCTGAGTGTGTTGATGTGCATACACCCGCACTCGTAAGTGGAGGCGGTAGCAGCACGATATTACAAGGTCAAACAGGCAGCTTGAACAGACAGCTTATGTTATTATGGACACATACATACGTGTATAGTTAGATATCCGCATAGAACCGTAGAGTATATATACTGCACCCTCGTATGCAATACATCAAGATGGGCTGCAGCTGACGAAACCAGTTCGCTGACGAAGTCAGTTCAATCGCTGAAAATCGGAAGTCAGAATAATTCGCTGTATTGGTGTGTACCTTAAGTGTATTCTGGCACCATCGGTTCCTCTTGGAAAACCAATGTTTCAAATGTATTTCATTTAAATTTGTGTGCATTTCAAAAGGACTGCTCATCCTTTATTTAGAAGACTTGCAGTATCTAGTGTACCTTTCTGAATGTATTACTCTCTTCTTCCCCACGTTCAAACCAAACAGTGAAAGTGATACCTTTTAAACCATTCCCACCCACAGCAACCCATTTCAAATAGGGATCAACATATACTGCATGCACTTGGTTTTGCGCGTATCCCAGGGCGGGAGCCTCCTGTTCAGGTGGCACTTGTTCATCGTCCACATCCAGTTCCACGAATGCGAGTTCATTTCCTGTACTGAATGAACCAATGAGGGTCTCAGTGCCACTCGTACCATCGTCTGTGAACCAACTACCGTTGCCGGTAATGTGGGTGCCATGTTGTACAAGGTCTATTTCGTGTGTTTCAATGTACTCAGCGACCTCTCGAGTTTTGATATTGATTACTGTGAGGGTATAGGGCTCTGCGGATACCCATTTTCCGGTAAGATTGGGATGGTTTTCCTTAGGTAGATTGTCGGAAAGGCACAAGTGAGTCAGATAGAAGCATATTGCAAGCGCTACACGGAGTAACCTCTACTTAATGTGTTGTTTAAATATAGTAATAGCCTCTACTAGTAGACTATGACCTGCACTTTTTGTAAAATAGTAAAATATTTGTAATATTATATTTACATCCTGTTTTGGTACATAGTCTCCTAAAAAATAACACGGAGGCTATGGTTGGTAGGTTGGTACCATGTATTTATTTATTTTGATTTTAGATTTTTTACAAGAGACCTAATAAAAGCAATAAATACTTAAAATTATTTATAAAATATTTAGCACTGGAATTCTGGTACATAGTCTGCTAAAACATCCTCGTTTGGAAACAACCTTCTTTTGAAATAAATATAGCGGGAAAATCTATTTACAGAACACTTATTAACCACCCAAGCAAAACTGATAAATTTGTAACCAATCAAAATATACTCTTATAAAACCAACATGAAACCAATGATGATTGGCGAATAGTGATTGGTCAGAAAACACTCGTGTTGAAAACAACTGACTTCGCCAATCGTCTGACCGTCACACTGACTGAAGAGCTGCTGGGGCCCAGTGGTACTGGCCTCACTCAGCGGGCAAGTTGGACTGTTGGGCCCCCCGGTTATATATTTCTGATGCTTTTATTTATATTTGTTTTTGTAAAAAACCAAGAATACACAAATGTACGTACATAGTCGTCATGGGGAAGTTGTGAACAAGGGATGGAGGCAGGAAGCTTGGAAGTTGAAGTCAGGATTCTCAGGAACCAGCAAGCGTGAATCCGTTCAACGAAGGTCCTGGTATAACAGAACGTATATTTACACAGCGTCTATGCATTTACGACCACATATTACTTCATGCGCGGGGGTGAATCTCATACCTATAAATATAATCAACCACTCAGGTAGACAAAGATAGAAGACAGTACAGTCATTAGGCGCAGCTATACGTGTAGCATGCCAAGTAAGTACCTTCTAAAGTGTTTGTGAGGCCAGGTATATATATGGTAGTTTGCATAATGAAGTGAAAACATAGTACTACAATATTATATATATATATATATATATATACCCTATACACTATAATATATATATATATATATATATATATCCCCGTACCATATATATATATATATATATATATATAT